AAAGTGAAATTAAAAAAATTCGTAAAACCCAAAAATTAAGAGTTAAATTAATCAAAGAGGAAATATGAACTAAAAAACTGCGTCGGCAAGTGGAATTTATTCTTTCGGTAATTAACAATTTGGATAAAAATTCCTCTCGCGTAATCCTCTATCGTAAAAATGAAATTGGCAATTGGCTGAAAAACTGGTTCATTGAAACTAATAACCATGATTTTGTGGTGGTTGGGGATAATCAAAACCGTCTAGTTAAGTTTGTTATTAGCAAAATACGGGATGAAATAAAAAAACGACCCTTTTCTCTCTCCTCATTTAATTCTATTGAGGATTTTCTGATCCATTTGAAAATAAATTGAAAAAATATCTACAAATTTCAACGGATAATTGAAAATTTTGACCAAGAAAGACTTTTGGACGAAGAAAGGGCCGAAACGGGCCTGACAGAAGAGGAAGTTTATGAATTTACTCGGCAGATTGATAAGCAATTAATAGAAAGAAATATTGAAAACGCTGGCAAAACCAGACTTTCTTCCATTCACAAAGCCAAAGGTTTAGAGTTTGATTATGTTTTTTTAATTGCAGTTGACGAAGAAATTTTACCTAGCAAAAATCAATTAGAATGAGAAGAAGTAAATTTGTTTTATACAGCCATAACCCGAACAAAAAAAGAATTATATTTAACAGCCAGCAGTTGAGAAGAATCTTCTCGGTATATCAAGTGTTTGGACCGCAATCTAATTGAATTATTACCGACCAATTTGCCCCGAGTAACCAAAACTCAGAATCCAACTCATCAACATTCAAATCCAACTCCTTCAATAGCCGAAATAATAGGCGATGAAGGCGAAAAAAAAGCATTCAAACTTTTGGCTAATAACAAAAAAATCAAGTGGGAAAAATTAGTGCGAAATTGGCAAGAAATTGAAGGCTTGCAAGTAGACATTTATGGAGAAACCAAAGAAAAAGTCTATTTTATTGAAGTTAAAAATTGAAGTGAAGCCTTTTATTATTCACCCACCGAAAATTTTCACCGTCAGCAAGAAATTTGGAAGCAGCAAATTATTCATCAAGAAAAAATTGCGGAGGATTTTAACTCGGCCAAACCAATCGTTTATCTAG